GTTTCGGTTACGACATAGGGATTTTCAGACTTTCCACAAATGATTATTGTGGAAATTCTGAATGGCATTTCGAGAAAAATTAGCTTCATCCGTGAACAGAATCAACAGAATTTTATTTACTCAAAAATGGCGCATCGAAGAAAAGCAACTCAAGAGAGATCATTTGTTTTAAATTAAACGGGAAATTCAAAAATAATTTATTTGGCAAAAAACCGTTGACGTACCCGTACGCACGCCACTGTTAAAGCTAAAAATTATTTTTGCATTGAAAAAATATGCAACTTTATTAAATTTCACTACGTACTAAATATCGGTGAAATATCTGAAGCGGTTCTGAAAATATCAATTAATTTCCATTTTCTTCCTGTAAGGAAACATTTTTGGACCATAGTTTATAAAGCAAACTAACATTAATTTTTCATGTAGATTCACACCCTTAAATATTCGCATATCATTAAGGAAAGCCCTGTATATAGGGTGTCCTAATATTCCGAGGACATAGAAGTACCACGTATTTTTAGACTCAAAATAAGTCGACTGGACATGATTTACCTCTACGCAAAGGTGCTTGGTTTGTCCGTTAGGGGGCGTTCAAGATTTCTTTTTAAAACAGATATTTTTGGAACCGAGAGTCCGATGTGTATGAAATTTGGAACATATGTGTTTTGTTAAACGTCCTAATATTTGACTTTTACAAAAACCCGAACGGGTTCGAGAAAGGTGAAACCAACCCCTTCCCTACATAAATTATAAGAGATTTTTTTAGCAACTACGCCAGGGACTCTGATTTTTTTTTATTTTGAAGATCCTTTTATTTACTTCATTTTTTGTCTCTTATGAAAACATGCTAAGTCGCATAGTTTTCGAGAAAAAAAAAATAGTGTTTCGGAGCTGGTTTCTGAGAAAATATCTAATTACCTCAAGTGTTAAAATCTAGTATGCATCTAGTTGGCGAAAATGTAGGATCTTAAGTTATTTTTGACAACAAGCTACATAAAGTTTAAATTAATAAGTACTGTGTGAGTTTATTTTCGAATGTTGATTTGTTTGATAATATTTTTGGTTAAGTTGTTGTTTTTCTTTTGAATATGGAGTATTCTTTTGAAGAAGAGACTGGTATGTATTAGGTTTCAGTTCAAATTTCGTGTCCACATTGAGTTGATGTATGTTAATGTCATGAGCCCTTTGTTTGTAAAAAAATATTTTTTGGGCAATATTATCTGATAACTTTCCTACCAAACTATTTTGTCACGTCTTGGATGGCTCATGGCATGTAAACAATGATATCTTCTCGATACGATGAAAAAATGTACTAAGTGACATATAAATCCGAACACCCAGTTTAAATAGTTTTATTTTAATAAATTTTTTTTAAATGATAAAAATTTCAAAATGATTGCACTGCTTTAAAGCCCTTTGACCTTTAATAATGTGTGGATGCACCCTGATGTGTTACGCATTCTCCAACGCGCCTAGGCATGCTTCTGATCAGGTGGTCAATGTCCTCCTGTGGTATCTCATTCCAGGCAACCACCAACTTCTCTCGAAGTGCTTCTAGAGTCTGAGGAGGACGTTGCAAATTGAGCAATCTCCTACCCATCATATCCCACACGTGCTCAATTGGGGATAAGTCGGGAGATCTTGGTGGCCATGGTAACAATGTGACATCATTATGTTGAAAGAAGTCTATTGTGACTCTTGCAACATGTGGTCGGGCATTATCTTGTTGGAAAGTTGGATCTGCCAGGGTGTCAAGACAGGGTAAAAGATGGGGTTCTAGAACTTCGTGGATATAACGCTGCGCGTTCATGTTACCTCTGATGAAGATTAAAGGTGACCTGGCACCATAAGCTATAGCACCCCAAACCATAACTCCAACAGTGTGATGAACATGTCTTTCAACAAAAAACTGTGGATTCCTCCTTTCACCACGTCGCCTTCTAACCCTGGCACGACCATCGTGCATGCCTAAACAAAATCGAGACTCGTCACTAAAGACAATACTGTTCCATTCCTGATCCCAGAGTGACCGTTGTCTGCACCACTCAAGGCGATTACGTCGGTGTTCTCGAGTTAAAGGGAGGACCCATTCATTTGCAATGGACCTGGTAGTGGAGAAACGGTCCCTTAAGGCCAATAATCTTAGGCGGCGATCTTCACGGTCTGTCGTTCTACGGCGGCGTCCAGTGCCCCTTGCTCTTTGCGTACGGCCTTCTCGAAGCCATGCCTGACAACACCTAACCACAGTGTCTACACTTCTTTGCACTCTTAACTGCAATTGCCCGAAAAGAAAGTCCAGCTTCCCGAAGTCCCACTATACGGCCCCTATCAAACTCACTAAGTTGACGAAATCGTACAGGTCTCCGTACTCTAGGCATCGTAACCGATCGTAAAGGATGTCAAGAACCAAAATCCGCCAACGTTGATTCTTTACTGCGGCTGAAATATTCATTTTTAGAGCGTTAGTGAATTAAAAAAAAGCAGTATAAAAACCGGAATGTCCAACTGATAAGGCTGAAAATTTATTCACTTGTTATTTACAGTAAGATAAAAACATTCACCAACTTTTATTAAAATAAAACCATTTAAACTGGGTCTTCGGATTTATATGTCACTTAGTATATATATGTATATATATAAAAAAAAGGTGAGTTTTAACTTAGAAAACGTGTCTTATTCCTTATCTCATTATAATATCAACCAAAAATGTCACAGTCGTTAGCAATTTTATTGGCATTGTTACTCATCATATTAACTGGTGCTTTTGATAATATGTTAGTCTGTGCTCTTTGACATAAAAAAGGAACACTAGCTCGTGAAGCTAACAGCGGCACCAGAAATTGCAACTGCGAGAGAATTTGGGTACAGTCTACTTGACCATGCAACAATTTATATAAAATCAATACAGAAAATTGATTCCGTCGCTGCTCTAAAGATTGAAACTCAAACTTTTGCAAAAGGCCTTTGTAATCGGAACCTCTTGAATATGAATATAAAAGTGTTGTCATATCAAAAACAAAAGTTGAGGCCTCACCACAATAGTGCGTTAATCAAAGCCTGATACTCATTCAAAAGAAGACATTAGATATGAGGCCTAAAAGGGATTGAAGATCCTTACAGGACCATCTATGAGACAGTAGCGGACCCTAACACTAGCTCTTTTCAAAGTTTATTTCTATATTATTTTTGTGTTCTGTTACTGTATCACAGATGGCGTTAGCGTATTCAACATCCCTTTTTGGACGCCAGAATACAGTATAGGGTTGTGTACGTTTAATAGTAAAAGACAGAATTTCAGTCTTACCTTGCAGTCCGATGCTTTTCAAGTTAAAATTACGTGATATTGCATAAAAAGCTGTCATGAAAACATCTCCATTGCTAACAATACGTCCTATCTATCGAGCTCAAAATAACGTTATTTATGGGTATCCAAATGAATTGATGATTAACACCAGTGTTCCCAGATGAGTTTTTTGATTATCAGTAGGTGTCGCCTCGAAAAATCAGTAGAATTCAGTATTTTTACGTGTATACATAGGCAACCAGTAAAACTTAGAATAAAATATAGAGATGAGATATTCAATAAAGAATCAAGGTTTTTAAATTATTACAAATATTTTTATTTTATATAAAAACCTCAACTAACAGATCAAAATGTATACAAACAAACTTTAAAAGAACAAAATATTCAAAATAATACATAATATTAATTTTTGCCTTTAGTTATCTGACTCCGAGTCGTCATCTGTGAGCCCTTACTCACTTTGTTTTTTGTATATTTTGGAATTGTGATATTTTAAAATATCTTCGCCAAAATCCACAGAAAAGCATGTTTGATTGCTAGTTTTCAAATAATTTTTAGTGTGCAAGTTACCTACTATTGATACACTCGAAAGGCGATTTCGATGAGTAGTTTTCATGAGATTAACTTGTGAAAATGTGCGTTCCACATTCGCAGATGAATGTGGTAAGGACAGCATATTAAATGCAAAAGTTGAAAGTAGAGGAAACATAAAGGAGTCATCTCCATATTGAATTTTGCTAATTTTTGCCCAAAATTCTTCTGCATTTATATTGCTAGGAAAATCTTTTAAAATTTCATTACTTCTAAGCAAGCGCCATTCATTGTCTATCGGTTGAATTTGATTTTCATTAACTAAATTAGGAAAATGTTTTGCCAAGGGAATGACAGTAGGTGGTTTTTCATTAATTATTGTTGCAGGGTCAATTAATTTCATGTTAATTAACACCTCATTGTTAAAATCAAATCTCTTGCATATCTGGTGTGCACTTTCTACAAAAAACTCTAAACATCTTTTCCTTAAAGTTAAATTAGAATCTCTATCTAACATTAGTAGAGGTATCTTAGCCCCTAAATAAAGTTCTTCTAGTGGTAACAAGTTTCCGGGATCTCTATAATTAATAGCTTTTGAGGGTTGTGACTCGATAATGTCTCTTTTGATAAAATATTCTAGTAAAACCTTGTAACTTGAGCTAATAGAACTATATAAACTATGTATTTTGGGCTTTTCTGCCTGCATTTCTCTATTTAGGTTATTAAAAAGGGGCAAAACAAATTGTAGAAACAGTAAAAATGCTTTTGTCAGTGGATCTTTCAAATCATTTAAAATATTTTGAGCAGCTAAAACTCCTTCAGATATAGCGGCATCAGTGAAAATAAAACAAGAGCATTATATGGCTCTAGAATTCTGTTGACAGCACTTTCTAGACTTAGCCACCTTGTTTGAGAAGGTTGTAGGATCTTGTGTATAGGGGTTTCCGTAAATGTTTGAAACTCTTTGAGGGTATCAATACGTTTCGGGCTGTTCGAGAAAAAATTATATACATTGCGAACCAAGTCTTCGGCACGCCTAGATAATTTTGAGCACGCATTTGATGCACATAAACTAAAACTGTGGCATATACATTTGAGTGTAAACAAGTTTTGTATTTGTGCTTGTAGTTTTGTAGTTAATGAATTGAGTCTACCGACCATCACGCTGGCACCATCCGAGGCAAAACCGATTAAATTATTTCGCCAGGGAATCCCATTGTTATCGAAAAAACGGACTATTTTTTCGTGAAGATCATCTGCTGTAGCTCCTTGGATGGGTATCAAGGCCAGAAAACTGTCAGTAACTCTAAAAAACAAAAACATTATCAGAAAGTATATTTTTTATATTTTCTTGTTATATCTGCTTGAAAAGGGCGATCCCTTTATAGTTAAATTGACTAACTTTCATATGAAATTAAACACAATTAGAACTGACATAATTTTCGTTAAACTTACTTGTCAACTTGGCGATATCTACTTATTAAACATAAATGCTTTGTGCAGCCTCTATCCATAGATTCGTCAACAATTAACGAAAATTTCGTGCTTTTTAAAATAGCACACAAGTTATCTAATTGTCTTTTTCCAATTACTTTGTTTACTATGGCGGAACATTTTGTTGGTTTACATTTCTTGCTACTTCAGAATCGGGGCATATTTTGGGAAGAAGTTGTACGAAATGGTTCATTATATTGTAGGATAAATTATGTTCCGAGACAAAAGCTGCTATGTGCATTTCAGATTTTTTGTCGTTTTCTCCAAATTGCTAAACTTTTTAAAAGATGCTAATGTTTGCTGGCCTTTTACAGATTTCAAACTTGTTCTGTGTCTTTCGCTGGCAATATGCCTTACTAGGGCCTGCTTTCCCGTTGTTTTGACTGATATATTTTTCTTGCAAGCTTTACAGTAGGCACTATTTTCTTCCTCTTGCTCTAACCATCCTTTGAAATCGGGATCATTTAGCCACGTTTTATTAAACTTTTGCGAATATTTAGTTTTCTTGCTTCCCGAGGGAATTTCGCTTACAGAATCATCAGATTCTGATTCATGTTCTCTCCTAAAATGAAATTACTTCTATTGTTTTCAACCTATAATAATAAATAAAGTAACTTACCTCATTTTATTTGAATTTCACCTCAATAAACATCACCAAACATCAATAATTAATCAAAATTTATTTCTCTCACTTAATATTTGGGTTTTGGGTACTACAATCGAAACTCTTTGAAATCGGGGAATCACCATAAATCTATGGGAATCACCATATCACCAAGTTTACACAGAAAACAGCGGACAGCTGACTAAAGTGCCATCTGTTTGAGGATAATGCAACTCTGCAACACCTGTAGGCTGTAGGGGCCCGCAACGGCGATTTGAGTAACTTTAGAAAATAAGCGCTAGATGGCGGTGGGAAATACGATACGATGTAGTATTTAATTCAATCTTGCTTTACAGAACCAGTTTTGCACAAAAGCACTTGCTATTGTGACTTGTTTTTTTTAATTTTTACTTAAGTTTTTTTTATACTTTACTTGACTTGATTTTTTCAGTAGATTTAAGAATGAAATCAGTAGATCAGTAGACGGAACCCTAAATCAGTAGATCTACTGATTTTTCAGTAGATCTGGGAACACTGATTAACACAGCATAGCATGAATATCTGGATTGCTTTATTATTTAAAATGGTTTTCCTATCGCTACATTGTAGCAAATAGTAGTGTCACGAGCCGTCGTTATCAATCATTGACTTTGTTAATAGCGGATAGTTCCTAATCTAAATTACGCAATAAATAGGAATTGGAAAAATGGCGTCAAGTAGGTTGCCACTGCATTTCTTATGCATCGTCGTCATCAGTTCAAAAAGGATTAAGTCAGGCGCAATTTAAATATTTTTTGTGCTACAATACGGATAGATTAGTCAGCCGGACCCCCGAATTTCAACCCCTACAAAAAAATTTCTGAAAATGATCAGGACCCTCTGAAATGTCAAAAAAAACGAAGTTTAAGCTTTTTTTTTCGTTTGTGCATTTTCTCTCCGTCGCCACTGGACCGATTTTAAAAACAAAAAAACCCGAGCCGTAAAAGTACGCCTTTATTCTTTTACAAATACATACATATATATATATATATATAAAATAAAACCCGATAATGAATCACAACAGCAATGCGAAATTAATGAAAATACAGATAAACAGAGAGCAAAACCTTCTCAGGAAGCTATGAAAAATAAGATTGGTCTACTCGAAAAAATCTGAATGCTTTGTATTCTGTCAGAGATACTATGCCAAGCCGTGCTGAAGTTGATAAACAGATCATTAAGTTGCGCGAGGAAATAAAAACAGCAAAACAGTCTTTAAACAGGAAGGTTCAAAACGCAGTTGCCCAGAAGAAACACAGGGATGGTTTGAAAAGAAAGTTAGAAGATATTTGTCACGAAAATATATAAATCTTCAACATTCACTATTGAAAACAGTCGCGGATATAGCTTTATTTGGGAGTGCAGCAGATGATAGAAGACGAAAGGAATCAATTCACAGCGTAAAAACTCTTGATGAACTCACACAAGAATTACGTAAAATAGCATTTGACATTAGTCGCAGTGGGACATATCTTCGTTTGATTCCCAGAAAATATAATTCTGCAGAGTGACGAAGACATGTATCGACAGTCCCTGTTAAGCTCATTCGGGCTCAAACTGATCACCACAAGAGCCACTTAGATAGCAAGTTCGCTGAAATATCAATCCATTATTTAGAGAACATAGCATCCATACTTGGACCAGATCAAGTATTTTTCATATCTCAAGATGATAAAGCTCGAGTCCCTATTGGCGTAACTGCGGCAAATAAGCAAGCACCTCTTCTAATGCACATGGAATTTAGAATCAAATTGCCTGATCACGATTGGGTAATCGCTGAGCGTCATAAATTAATAACATCTGTTTATGCTGGTATCAAAATCACTTCCAATATGCTAGGACAACCGCAAGCCGTTGTATATTCAGGACCAACATACATCGCTATTCGAAGTGGAAAGCATAGTTCATCTACTGCTAATACTCATGCTCAGGATTTCGAGACGCTTCTCGAACTTGAAGAGTTTCGACCATTAGCTAAAACTGACCATGGACTAGTAAAACCAGTGGTAATCATGACGGTTGATGGAGGGCCAGATGAAAATCCACGTTATCAAAAAGTCATAGGGTTTGCTATACAACACTTTAAGCGACATGATCTCAATGCATTGTTTTTAGCTACCATTGCTCCTGGAAGAAGTGCGTATAACAGAGTAGAGCGCAGAATGGCTCCTCTTAGTCGGGAATTGGCTGGTTTAATATTGCCTCATGACCATTTTGGGTCTCATTTGGATGAACGTGGCGTTACAATTGATGAACATCTAGAAATATCTAATTTCGAATTTGCAGGAAATGTATTAGCTGAAGTATGAAATTCAATGGAAATTGATGGCTATAATGTTAATGCAAAATATGTTGGGGCAGGTGAACAAGATCTTCCTGATTTTCCAGACATGAAATGGTATTCAGAACATGTGCGTGAGAGCCAATACTTGCTTCAAATTGTAAAATGTAGAAATACAGAATGCTGTCGCCCAAGAAGTGGCCTATTTAGATTACTAGACAATAGGTTTCTTCCACCACCTGTAAAAGTAAAACAAACAGTTGATGACTTGGTTTTGGATGAAGGAGGGCAATTTCTTAATCTTCCAGTCAATTTAGCTCTACGCTTAAGTGCTTCACTCAAGGATTTCCTGCAAATGCCCTACGATGATTTTTGTCCGATGGTAAAATTGAGGCTATCAAGTCGAACATGCAAAACGTGTGGTCTTTATCATGCTTCCGTCAAGTCACTAAATCGTCACATCGAAAATATCCATAAAAAAGTAAACACGCACACTGATAGGAAAGTTAGACCTGTAAGAGTCGCTGCTCGTCGTGCTAATGAACTGATGTGCATTATTCAAAATTTAGAGCACCATGATGTTGAATGGCTCGATGAGAACGACGTAGACATTCCAAAATCCGATGAAAGCGAGCAAACTTACAACACTGAGCAGCAATCGAAGCAATCCAATGTCATCGAAAACTTAGAATCATGGATTCGGGTTTCATGGATTGAGGACTGTTAATTTGAATTTAATATATGTACCAAAAATTTGAAATACCTAAGTTTGTTATGTTAGTAAGATATAATATTTTTGTCCTTTACTCTATGTTGAATACCGTATCGGTAAAATATAATCTCTATCCTAAATCTATTTTCTTATTTTTCAAATTATAACACTGATCAACAGCCAAAAAATATCCTAAATAAAATCAACAAAATATTACTATTTTTAATGTGCTAAAACCTGAACGAAACTTATTTTTTCAATATTAGTTCAAGTTTTAGAGTTACGGTAATTATATGTGTTCCTGCTGTGACAGTGTTAATATACTGTAATTCACAAGAATGCACGTGCTACATTTTTATATTCGGCAAGGAAAGATGATGTAATCGGCATGATTGTGTTACGTTATACATACGTGTACATTATATTGTTTTATATTAGCCATTTTTCCAGATCAGTTTTGTTACGTGTGTGGTGATGTGACTTTTGCGTCTCAGAGACGGTCTATTACTCCACTAATAACAAAGGCATATCAGCTTTATTTCGGTTGTAAACTAGGTGATCAAGACAAACAGTGGGCACCCCACATCTGCTGTAATACATGTGCTTCAAGTCTGAGGAGCTGGTTAAATGGCAAAAAACGGTCTATGCGCTTTGCTGTTCCAATGGTTTGGAGAGAGCCTAGAAATCATATTAATGATTGTTACTTTTGCATGGTACCTTGTGTTGGACAAGCCACAGGTATGTCCAAGAAAAAAAAATCGGTTATTAACTACCAAAACATACCATCTGCGATGAGACCTGTGCCTCACAGTGACGAAAATCCTATTCCAAAACCCCCAGAATCCTACACTTGCGAATCAGAAAACGAATCAGATCATGGCGATCGAGTGATTCGTCAGGAAGAAGATATGCCATCAACGTCAAGAGATCCTGATTTTATACCGAGCACGTCATGCCACCAACCGCACAAAATAACACAGTCAGAATTAAATGATCTTGCAAGGGATTTAGAACTTCCAAAATGTAAGGCAGAGTTACTTGGATCAAGACTGCAGCAGTGGAACTTGTTAGAAGACGATGTTTCGGTATGTGTTTTTCGTAAACGCCACAAAGACTTAGAACCATTTTTCAATATGGAGAATAACTTAGTTTTCTGCAGTAACATTAACGGCTTACTGGCGGCTTTAAATATAAACTATAACCCAGAAGAATGGAGATTGTTTATAGACAGTTCAACATTGAGTTTAAAGGCAGTGTTATTGCATATTGGAAATATTTTACCATCTCTTCCTGTAGGGTATGCAGTTCACATGAAAGAATCATATGACAATATGAAGTACCTATTGCCATGCATAAAATACGATGAGCACCAATGGCATATTTGTGGCGATTTGAAAGTTGTTGCACTTTTACTTGGGCTGCAGCTAGGCTACACAAAGTTTTGCTGTTTTTTATGTGAATGGGACAGTCGGGCAAAGGCACTTCATTACACCAGACAAAACTGTCCTGTTCGTCAATTCGTAGAGCCAGGTCAAAAAAATGTACAGCATATGCCATTAGTAGATTCGAAAAAAATTTTATTACCACCACTGCATATCAAGTTGGGCCTAATGAAAAACTTTTTCAAGGCATTAGATAGAGATGGGTCAGCTTTTCAATACCTGCGTCAGAAATTTCCAAGACTAAGTGAGGCAAAGGCTAAAGAAGGTATTTTTGTTGGGCCACAGATTCGAAATATTTTGAAAGATACAGTTTGAAAACACTTTAACAGGTATTGAAAAAACTGCTTGGAATGATTTCCGTCTGGTGGTCACTAATTTCTTGGAAAATAGAAAAGCTGACAACTATAAAACCCTTGTCAAAAATATGCTGTCATCGTATCAAAAGATGGGCTGTAATATGTATCTTAAGATACATTTCCTACACTCACACCTGGACTTTTTTCCTGACAATTGCGGAGCCGTAAGTAATGAGCACGGCGAACGTTT